TCAATCGGATCCCAAACCAAATCAATGGTGCACATGGGCTCCAGTATCCTGCGGCAACAAATGGCGTATGAACCAATTGTTGGCAACCGGCTTACATTGGACTGTATCTCCTGAAGTTCCTCCACTGCCTTATGGATCAGACCTTTAGGTCGAAGGCTCCAGGTGTGGCTCCCTAGGGAAACCATTTGGTTCGGTTTGGGCGCCCGGGCAGTATCACAGCCCTCACACAAATCAAATGAGATTTGTGTGGCGCATATGTATTTGGTGCGTTAAAATAAATAAATAAATGAAACATTTGACAATTCACTTATTACGTAATTATTTCGTTTCATTAATCGTGGAGTATACCAACTTCTTTTTTTAAAGATGACATTAGTAAGAGAATTGTCGGTATGTACGAGTCTAGGCAATATAATTTACTAAGAAAAAAAATCAACACATTATTATCATATCGTACACAATAAACAGTATGTTTGAACATGTGGTAGAAAATGATATGCTCTGTGTTGTTTTAAATGAATTAAACCAGTTTGAATATGTATACACAGATTTAAGAAATAAAAAGAGAACCAAAAACAGAGAAAAATATAATTGGTAACAGGGGATCAATATTCACTAGAAGCTGTAAATTACTTGACAACGATATGAAATCCATGTAATTGAGATCATGGAGAATAGTTGTAGTTCAGTATGAGAATTTTGGACTCATTCTGTTCTCTTTTTTTTCTATAACTTGAATAATTCAATAGTAGTGCTTAAATTGTCGTTCTAAACAGAAACATCAGTATATACTTAAGAACGTAACTCAACTATAGACAATATGCAACCAAGTGTTCCAAGTTAACAAAACAAAATCTATTAATTAATCGTGAAAAAAATCGGATAGTTCTTTTTTTTGTTGTTGTTGTGGAATTATGAGCGGATGTTGTCTAGAAAAACATTGAATCATTCATGACTATAAACTATCAAGCATAACAGAGAACATAAAGAACATCGTGAAAATCAATGTTATCGAATTCAATCATCAAAATAATCAAATGTAAAACAGAAAGTAAACTAATTTATCATGACTTATTGAAATTGTTTAAAGATCTCCGTCATATTAAAAGACTAATATTTGAACAAAGAATATTCTTTTCAATAAATTCTCATTAGGTTCTACAATTATCCCATATCCAAATTAATAATCAGAAAAATGGGCCAGGTTAACGGCAAAGTACATCGTTTAAAGCATGTGAATTTAGGATTGTGATAAACACAATACAATAAAATTGTTAATCTTAATATGAATCATATAGAATGTTAACATGAATCTGTGTATATGTTAAATGATAATTTAAAATCCATGATCAGAATAAATATGGGTCAAATAGGATGAGAGTGAAATAATAGTTGGATGCGAAGGGATCTCTTTTCAACGAATTTATTATCAAGCTGTACAATCGTATATATATGAAAATTTTGTTTTTGTAAAAGTACTAATTCCGTGAGGAAATGATAGTGCAATTACAATTCGATCAAATAAGTAAGACGTAATTATCAATACTTTATCGTAATTTCATGCAACTAGTTTCTTATACAAAAATTGACTATCTATTAATATACGTGTTTTGTTTTTTTAGCTTTACCTCGAATGATCACAATGCTGTAGAAATTCATTTATTTATTCTTTTACCTTCTCTTTAAATTCATTAAACTTTCATTCTGCAAGCTAATTCATTGATTTTATAACTATTAGTATTATTATTTGAGATCATGGATCTATTAATGTTAGAACATCATTGAAAACCTAAAAGCTCAGGAAGGCCGTTTCGTCCTGGTATGAAATTTCTCACTAATGAGAATTTACAACATTGCAAATGGGACTCGAACCCAGAACGCTTTAGCTCTAGACCATTGAGCAGGCATCCAATAGTGTGAAAATCAAGCTTCAATCAATCCATGATATTGCGCGAACATCTTTTATTGTCTCTAGTGGGTTGAACATTTACACCGTTGGATGCCGTGTCAGTGATTTACAGATTAAACGTTCATAGGTGAAACGGAAGGTCCTGAGTTCAAATCCCGCGTGTGGAATAGTGGATGCACACTGCTGAGAAGTTCCATACTATGACGAAATGGTCTTCTAATGTTGCCAGGTTCTCAATGGTAATCTAATATTGATCGATTCATGATCACAATTAAAACTCAACTATCTCCACAACCCTATACTTATTATAATCATTGAAAAATGGATTTTTTTTCAACTATTAGTTTGTTCATCCAACAATAAGTGATCATTTAAAGTTGTACAAAGAATTGATCACATGATTAGAGCACAAAAATTCTAAATATATATGTATGTCTTATAATGATAAGTAAATCTTAGGCGTGGTATTGTTAACTTAAATCTGATTACTTTGAAGAGGTGAACATTGAATGACATGAAATATTAAAATTGAATTTTGAAAAGAATGATGAAGCGATTAAAAGAAATTATTTCGATTGTTGTTGTTGCTGCTTGAAACAGACATTTCTACTATATGTATGTATGTGTGTATGTATGATGAAGAGTTAGATAGGGAATAAGTTGCTTTCAAGTGATTGCATTTAAATGAAATACTGATTACGAAATCATATTTAAACTTTAATACATTTTCAATACAACTTTATTAAGAATAAATACTGAATTATCGTATATGAATTATTAGTAATTTTAGGAATGGATTTAACCAGAAAATACTAAACTGGTTACTCTTAAACAGACAATATAATTTAATTATAAAATGTATTTATTATTTTCTATGAAAAATATCGTATCGAATACATATGCGCCACACAATAACAATGAGGCTAATAGTAATTATCATTGATTTGTGTGATTGTCGTGATAGTGACTGGGTGCCAAAGTCGAAGCAGGTCGGTTTTTTTAGAGAACCACACCCGGAGCCTTCTACTTAAATTTCTGATCCACAAGGCAATTGAGCAACATCAGGAGATGCGATCCCATGGTAGTTGGTGACCAACAATAGGTTTATACGCCATTTGCTCCTCCAAAATCCTGGAGACCATATGCACCATTGGTTTGGAATCAAAGTTTTCCAACTCTACTAAGTAGACTCTCCGTGTCCACCAACCCGGTTAAAGCGCCAGACATTTGCTTTTCGTCCTCCCGATTTCGTAAACAACACCTGTGATGCGAGAAGGCAGTGAGTAGGACTTCCCTGACAAGGGTTGTAAACGCATGGCCATGTGAGAGCATTTCTAGAGGGAAAGAAGACACTCTCTACCCTCGACTGTACCACAGCATTTGGGAGTGATGTAATATTACACACAAAGATCAACAGTAGGTCCTTCTTCAGTCACTTAACAAAGATAACATGTTAGTATGCCTATGCTACATAAACATGAGTAACAACCGTTTTGTAGATGACTATCACAAATCAAAGCAGTCACCATAAAGTCAACTTCTCTATATTGTCACTTTATTATGGTAACTAACTAACTAAGTACTTAGAAACAAACTTTTGAAAGTTTGAAGAGAAACTAATTTGAAAGTAGAATAAAAAAGAATTTACAGAGCATGTATGTATGCATGTAGGTATGTGTGAGAAAGAGTGAGATATGTAAATAAATAAATGAATAAATTGAAGCATGAAAATGGTGGTGGTGGTGTGTTCTTGAAACTGTTATTATCGATATGACAGTAATGATGATGATCAGACTAGTAGTAGGAAAGATAGGAGGACGTAGAGAAAAAAACAACACCAATAACAACGAGAAAAATAACAACGAAAACATCAGACTAGAAGGTGTACAGGTTTTCTTCTCTAAAAGAGATATTATAGTATAGAGTATAATATTTAAGCCTACAATAGAGTTAGCTAGACACACATATCGAAGTTCAAACCTTTATAAAGCATAAAAAGGATGGAAGAACGGATGACGATGACGACGATATTGGCAAGTGGTAAGATAATTCAATGCTAAGAGAAGTAAACCATGTGTACATAGATAACATATATACAGGGGATACATATATATGTACGTGTAGCATACGATGCTCTATATAGTGGGAAGCGAAACAGGTCAATTAAACAAGGTAAAATGTAATTACCTACTATACTTATGCATTGAGACATCCAGTACATGTATAGTGGTGTGTAAGCATACACGCGAGAAGGTAACACTATATACATATATATACAAGGGTATTTTCAAGTTGCTTGCTAACAAACGAAATTCGATATCGTTTAAAATAAAAATGACCTTGAGAAAAACAATTTCCATTCCATTCATAGACAATATTGTTAACTATTTAGTTATTGGAATAATAATTTATATACATTCATTTAGTAGTCAGTCCGTCAGTCACCCACTCATTTCTTTACACACACACACACATATATACATACACAAAACAGAGAGAGAGAGAGAGAGGGTAGAATGCATGTGTACAGTTATTTATTATGATCAAGTTCTTTCTTTTTTCCCAATAGAAAAATATGAAAGGGAGACCAGAGAAAATTATCAAAATGACAATGAAGAAAAGAAATTCTAAATTAAATTATAATTGATATAGAAATATAAACTGATTATATATATTTACGTACTTATGAAACTACCGACATTATAAGTAAATGAGCATACCACAAATGAGATAAATCGGTAATAGACAATGACGTTTATAAAGATGGTAAACAACCGTTTCCGAGGTGAAAAAAAAAAGTAAATGAATTTGGTAAATGAGCAACAATTCATTGTTTACATTTACTGGAATTAAGTTAATTAAGTATGCAGATTATAAAATGAAACAATGAATTATTGAATATAATAAGAGTATTACACTAAAATATAGTTGAAACTCATTAAACCTTATATGATAATTAACATATCTATTCACAACTAAGTTTACAAAGAATATTCATTAAAATCGGTTTAAAAAATATATTTCACAGAAAAAAAAAGTTTGAAAGAAAAACTTAGAAAAAAAAATTAATTGATTATAACCAAGAACTTACTGAATAATGCATCATACAAGGATCAGTAGGTTGAAATTGTGATCGACCACCACCTGTTGTTGGTGCCTGATGCATAGGACGTGGATGACCAGGTGTAGAACGTGGGAAGTGATTCATTTGTAACTCATCTCCAATATAGGAAGGATTCATTGATTTACTCGGAGTTGTAACGCAATTAGGAATTGGTTGTTTAACACAGTGAACATTTTGATTGGTAGGTGATGACTGTTGATGTGTGGATGATAAAGACTGTGTATAATTACCAGTATTGGTAATAACACTAGATCTACCAGATGCAGCACCAGCTTTACGTTTTTTTGTTCCTGGCTTTGCGACGCCAGAACCACGCCCACCAACTGATTGGTTGGTATTAGTGATAGGTACACATGTAGGAGGAATAGAACCAACAACAGGAGATTGAATAACATTTAATGCTTGACCAGCACGACAAACAGATGGTATTGAACCCGGTTCAATGTGACCAACGAGAGCAAGATTTTCGTTATTTTGAATAGGAGACATAGAAAGAGGAATCGAGTTGGGTGATAACCAAATATCACTATTTGTAGCAGAATGGTAAGGACGTTTTTGCCCAGCATTTGGGACTACACCGGGAGTTATTGAGTCCGGACCGGCTGCACCGATAGGACCTAGTGTCCGGCAAGATTCTGTCGGTAGTGTCAATGAGTCAGAGGACGGATAACCAGGATTTCCAGAACATATATTTGAATTATTTGGTGGAACCATTACAACTGGAGGGCCACTTTGGTAAGTCGGAGGTTGGCAGGTTTGTTGGTCAGTCATCATTACTTGTTCTGAAGGCATCATCATAGTTCCACTAGCCATAGGTGGGACAGGGCACTGAGATGAAAGATTAACTTCATGAGGAGGAACTGGACAGTTGGACATATCAAAAAATCCCATCTGTCTAGGTCCAGAATAACGCATCATCGATGGATCACTTTTTCCACGCTGATAATCAGAACATAATCTATCCCATTCTTGTTGAGCTGACTCATTATTAATATATGGTCCTCCAACTAAACCACTCTGACGAAATACCCCATAGTTTTCAAAATCTACCGGACGTTGTCCAACAGCTTCAGAATATTGTAATGAATTGTTAATAGCTGAATAATGTTTAAAAAGAAAAGAAATATTGTAAAAATTCATCAAGCAGTATGTATTTATTAAAAAAAAAAAAACAGTTAAGATGAAAAAAGTACTTCAAAAGTATTTAATTCTATGTATAATATTAACTCCGCCTGTAGCACGTCTGGCGTTACTGTCGGTCCCATGTCCGGATAAATGAGGCGAGTTGGGCATGGGGGTTAGCGACCCCATCCTGTAGGAAACTAACTCGATTTAAAAAAACGTTAACCAGAAATTAATGTATAATATTATAGAAATAACATAATGTTATCAATGTATGTCATGAAAATTTAACAATTCTACCATTATTCTATTGTTGAAAATAAATAAGAGAAAAAAAAAAGTTGAGATTCTTAATGATACAAAATTATGTGGAAAATATCAGGTTCAGACGGTGGAATAATCATTTTCATAAGTATGATCAAATTAACATTTTACATAGTGTATGGATCCTTAAAATAATAATAATAATAATGAATATTTATTTCCCTTTGGTAGTTTAATAGTTCAGTAAAAAAAAATTTGAGCATTCTAGGATTTAACGAGTATCCTTTCACTGCATTGATTTATCAAGTGTATGTTTGTTTATGTACTCAATTTGAAGTTACAAATTTCTAAATATTATTTATGTATATTATAGATTTAGTTTGCTGTGTTAATGAGGTATAGCAACTTGGACAGATGAATATATGTACTTGGTCATACGTTGTAGCTGACTGACTGACTGACTTACAACTATCTATAGTTATTGATGCTGTCCCATTTCCATCAAACAGAAAAATAAAAAGATTGAATAGTTTAAACCTACAACTCAAGGTATTTGAAATTTAGATGATTATTTGTAGAACTTTTATAAGATTGTTACATATATAACTTACAATCTGTTAAACAATGAGTTAAAGTGAGTAGTGAAATTCAATCATGTTATATGTGAACCAGTTATCCATTAATGACATTGGAAAATAGATTAAATTAACACCAGTTTCAATAGTTACAAAGGAACAAAATAGTAAGAGTTAGGTTTAAAGCCTGTTTTATAATTCAATCATCAATCATATAAGCATAGAGAAAGAGAAAGAAAAGAAGATTTATGAGTGAAGAACGAAGTAGTATTTATGATATTCTAATTAACTATTCTTTATTTGAACACTACATAATTGTGGTTTTCTTCTAATTAAAAAAAAATGGAATTAATATGCATTTTTCTCTTTCTCTCTTTCGCTCTCTCTCACCTACACAAACACACATACACACAATTTGGTTTCCGCCTTTTCCATTTTAAGATGAATAATGTACTTTTAAAATATGCATAGGACAATTGGTTGTCATCTAATCTATACTACAAAATTATTGATAAATGCATTAGATATTACACAATAGAGTTATAATAATAAGTATTATTATTGTTATTCACTAGTGAAAAAAAGGAATTATTAACTGTGCACAACAAGTTTGTTCAATGTAGAAGAGATTATGTCATAGATGAAATTACAGAACAGTAATGTTTATCAATGTAAGTATACATGATGAGTTAGATTTGTTTTTGTACAAAAGGGTAGAGATTATATCAGGAGATATATTGTCAATTGAATATTTACAAGCACTATTCACGGTATATATATATGTACATATCATCTTTTCTTAGGAATTAAATTGACTTATTCACCAGATACTGGCGTGTAAACCACACTCTAGATAATGAAGGCTAATAATACTACTATCCAATTGCTCAAACCGAAGTAGAACAGGGATCAAACCTTAGAATTATTGACTGAAGGTTGGATACTTTAACCAATGTTGTTACTATTCTACTCAAATGATCATCTAGTACAATATGTCACTATTATTATTTCAACCTATAGTTGTATGATAGAGTCGAATTAGGTAGAAGAATACTCAATGAATTATGTTATTAAGTTTATAATTTAAAAATAGAAATGACTAACCGGAAGGTGGTAGTTGTGCTGAAGGATTCCCTAACCCTAACGACTGTTGTTCCAGCTGCTGTTGGTGGTGGTGATGATGATGGTGATGGGATGGCTGTTGTGGCTGCATTGAAATAGAATTACGCATCAAACGTTGTTGTAAGACAGCACCAGCTGTTGCTGCAGTTATAGCACCTGGTGTTGAAGCACTTTTACTTTTACTCAATGTTGAATGAATTTTTTCTAATTGTGCTATTTTACTCTTACGATTCTCCCATTGTTCTTGAGTTAAAGGCATACAACCACTATCTGGAATACCAATTATCGGTGAAACTAAAGCAGTAGTTGGACCAATACATTGTTTTGAATTTGAATTAGATGATAAGACAGAAGAATGTTCTAATCCACTGCATGAATTAATATCTTGATGTCCTGTACACATATGTCGAAAATAAGATGAATTGGTGGATTGTTTTATATTAATCGGATCAATAATTTCAACTGGAGATCCTTTCATCGTCATATATGAGTCAAAGGGATATGTTTGTTTTGAGGTGCCATTTCCAGTAATTTGATTTTGTGATATTTGTTGAGTAGATGAAGGATATGATCGATAGTTTCTTTCATCAATTGTTCCATTATTTGATCGTTGTTGTACTTGAGATGATGGTGGTTGTGTTGAAATGGCAATAGTATCATTGGTTGTTGGTAACTTGCGATCACCTAATTATAAGTAGTATAATAAAATACACTAAGTGAATACGACAAATTCTTTACAGTTAAATGAATAAAAAAACGGAATAGATCTAAAATACACAAGAACTATAAACATATGATATATACATATATAACAATAACAATAATTCATTAATGCATTTTAATCGTGGGTTTTAAAAAGATAAAAAGGATTGTTTTCAAACTTTCTAAGGAAACGCCCTAATAAAAAAGAAGAGTGAACTGTGAGTAGAAAAATGTTTATCTGTAGTCAAAGCATTGACTTGTAAGTTTTCATTCCAATTTATTCATAATGATATAAGCAGTCCTAAAGTACCACCATTATTAACTCTCATATAGAGAAGTGACTTAAAAGTGGAGTATATATTTACACCTACATCGGATATGATACTTTATGTATCTATTGTGTTTATACAACAACAATCTAATCGAAGAGGTAATTCAAAGGAATCGTTTAGGCCATATCGAATGTAGGATTTTACACTGAATAAGGGACTACATATATATGTTGATTTGGAATAAGAAAATCAAAGAGTGAAATTATTCAACATAATAAGTTCTTGGAAGTGAGCATTCACGGTCCCGCATGTGAGACTGGAACCCATAAACTTCAGTTTGGCACGCGAACGCTTAACCTCTAAACCACTGAGCCGGCATCAAACGGTGTTCATGTCTAACTTCAAACGACCTTGCACATTGCTGAGGAGCCCCATACTAAGATCAGACGGCCGTCCAGTGTTTCCAGGTATTCAATGGTGTTTTAGCTCACATCGAGTCATGAATTTCAACTATCAAAATCACTACAATCTCTACAAACCCCCATTCCAATATTAATTTCTTTTGAAATAAAGTTTTTTTATACATAACAGAAAATATCATATGAACGAAATAATTTCATCCTTCCTATTTCGTCTACTTTCTTCTGAAAACAAAGTAAACAGTATTTATAAAAAGAGAAAATAAAAAGAAAGGAATGCATAGAAGCAGTCATTCATAATCACTGATACAGCATAGTGTATATACGCTCATCTGCTCAAGTTGTGCTATATTAAGAATGAATAAGAGGAGATATAATTTACAAAATAACCAATGGAATCGAAATAACTATAGTGAAAATCACTAAACATTGAGAATATGGTTCAAGTAGACACAATGAAAAAGTACGTGTATGAAGGAATAATGGAATTGAAGATCTAGATAAAGGTAATAAATGAATACGTTTGGATCTATACCACTGATTATGACTCGTTTTACTTAATGATAATAAGTGTGAAAACTAGTAACACTGTTCAATGTCATAAATCGTAGTCAAACGGACAAGATTTGAATCTGATACTTAATGGTTGAAAGTTAAGCGCTAGGATTATTAAAACATTTCTTAGTTGTTTAATGACTTACATGTTAAGTTCAACCATTTTAGATGGATAAATCCAAATAAATTAAAAATATATTTAATAGTACATTTAAGATATATATTTATGGGTGGTTTAGCAAGTGAAGCACTCAACCTTTAGAAATTCGATCAAAGGTTCATAACTATGTGTCGTTTACTTTAATTTTAATAGTGAATTAGTCCTACAATAAATAGTTCAGTACAAATACTTTTATTGAGGTAATTGTGTTCATGCGAATACATAGAGATAATCTTCGTTAAAAAATATGTAGTCTACATTCACAATAAGCTCAGTAGCGATAGTGTGTGTGTGTGTGTGTGACACAATCTTGTTCTGGTAGATAAAAAACGGTCAGTAAAACAAGTTTATGATGCACAGGATACCGCAGTTCACAAGTATACATATAAATAGTATATTAGTAGAAATCATGAATATAAAATAGATTGCTGTCGAAAAAAAATTTTCTTTTCTAATCAACATATTCACTTACGATGGAATGATGGAGATGATGATGTCATATTTGAATTGGAATTAGGAAGACCGGGTGAACTCCAAGATGCTAATGATTCACTGACTACAACACCAGGTGTAGCAGTAGTATTACTAGATATATTAGGAGAGGAAGGCAATAACTGAATACCACTAACAGTGGAAGTATAATTACTATTATTATTTGTCGTAGTAGCAGTAATAGATGTAGTACTCATGGTTGTCGTTGTACATATAGCAGCAAAAGTTGTAGTAAACATTGTGTTAGTACCAGTCAATGATGTGATAGATTCACAAACCACTGAACTACTATTATTTTGCATTGGTACAATAGATTGATCAACAACACCATCTGAATTTCTTATTGTTTCATTATTATTCGATATATTGTTATTGATACTGCCACCAGTTAACGATGTATACCCAGATTTTGTGGCGGTACCAACCACAGGTGATGGTGAAGATAAGTTGTATTGATTTGTAGATGAAGAAGTTACAGAATGAGTGGTATTATTCATAAAAGAATCATGATGATTACAACTGACAATTGATCCAGATGATGATGATATGTTGGTATATTCAAGTGAAGCATTAACTTCAGATTTTGGGAAATGCATTAAATCTGAATCACAAGGTGATTGACCAGATAATGATCGCATTTTTGTTAGATCTAGAATAATTACAGTAAAAATTAAATAGAAAGCTATGAGGTAACATTATTGATCAGAAATTACACTAAACAACAAAAAAATCGACAAATATCATGTGGTGGTGGTGGTGGTATAAGTCATTTTATTGAAGATGATGATTATTCTAAAGCAAACCATTAACAACCATTCTCATCATAATTAATTTATATAGAGACTTAAGATTTGATAACATTTTTTTAATAAAATTATTTCTAAATGATTACATCATTATTTTTAATTTAATAAATTGAACTAGTTAATATATACAAACAATAAAAAGGTAAATATAATTTTGATCAATAAGGAATAATGTTGTTTATTGAAATAGTCCACAAATGCCCTGGTATAACCGAAAATGGAGAGAGTTAGCTCTCCCTCCCAAAATGCTCTCACGTAATCACGTGCATACAACCACTGTCAGGGAAGTCCTACTCACTGCCTTCTCACAACACGGATGTTGTTTATGAAATTGTCCGGCGCTTTAACCGGGTTGCTGGGTATAAAAGATCCACCTACGGGAGTTGGAAAATCCTGATTCCAAACCAATGGTGCACATGGGCTCCAGAATCCTGAGGGAACAAATGGCATATTAACCAATTATTGGTCACCAGGTACCATAAGACTGCATCTCTTAACGTTGCTCCACTAACTTGTGGATCAGAACATTAGGTCAAAGGCTCGGGGTGTGATGCTCTAAGAAAACCATCTGCTTCGGTTTGGGCACCCGGGCAGTACCCAAGCCCTTACACAAATCTAATAATTTACGTGCTAAAATAAATAAAAGTTACAAAGTATTTCTATTAGGGGAGTCCAACAAACCTATTTCCAAACTAGTCACTGATTACAGTATAATTATTACTATTCAGAGAATTTGTTTCTCTCTCTCTCTCTCTCTCTCTCTATATATATATATATATATATATATATATATATATATATATATATATATATATATATATATCATAACGTATAAGTACTTCTAATTTTGTCATTACCCAAGGACACAAGACTAAAACTATTGTATTAGATCAAAATAAGGACAACAGAGAAAAAAACGGAAGTACATAAAGTCAATAACCTTTGATATTAATGATAAATTTAATATGTAAGTTCCGAAAAAAAACGTGTACAGATCTAAAATAAATTTACATTTCAAAGGGGATGATAACAGTTGAAGAAAGTCTGAAGATATGGACGAGATAATCAAAGTATACTATTCTTATGAGTTAATGATACACTACTTGATTGCTCTAAATGAAACAGTTGTAGAGAGAGAGAGAGAAAAAAAAAGTTAATAGGTAAGTGTTCTATCCAACAAAAGGCCAAAACACATTTAAGTAGCATCATATAGGTCAGCACAAAATATAAATATATTTCATGAGTTAAGCGTTAGTTTTTACTATAGAAAAAGAGGAATGAACATATATTATGTTTGTAAGCAAAGATGGATAGTGGCTAGCATTACAAACTAGGACACACGTTTCGTCCCATTTGGGACTCGATGGCTGGATGTACATGCATTTCAGAGTTGATGTTCACTAGAGGAATAGAACCTAGTACCGTTCGCTTCAAATGCCATCGCGTCATCTACTTAGCTAGTGAATCCTGATAGTCACTTATAAAGCTAGTGAATTAAGGAAATATAGAGGCAATCCACATAGGATGTACATATTCCAATAAGAAACTGATCAATTACAGTCCTAAACATCAATAGGAAGATTCAAGTAAACAATACCAAGTGAATTTACACTAAATTGAAAACCAACCTGATTACTGGGAAAAATAAGATATATCAAAATGTGAAAAATATACTTTATAGAAGAAATTACTATGAAATTTATATAGTGTCATTGAAGTGAAACATTTAACCTGAATCGAAGTACAAAACTAACTAATTAGTAGGTCATTAAGGTGAATATCCACGAAAATGGGATGTAATTACAGTTCCGATATAAGATGAAACGTACAATTTAGATTCTATAGTACAACAACCAACAAATTTGGAAAAATCCACAACAAATACTGATCACTTGTAGTTGTTAGCAGTAACAATAGGAAAATACAAACCCTTACAAATATAAAACCAATTATATTTTGAAGATACTGAATGAATCCAACAATTTACTCACAAAACAAAATGAATCTAGTGGAGAGTAGTTCGAATCCACAATCTAATAGTTAACAGTTCAAAGTATATTTGTGTAAGAGTGAGGAGCAAGTCACTATTGAAAGAACACCACTAACCAAAGCCGACGCTAAGCAATCACGATTCCAAACTAACATTGCATTTGCCATTATTTCGTGTTCAATAAAAAATTCAGTTATTTTACACAAAAGAAATACACTTATATTGTGAATAGAAATGCAAAAGTTACGTCCATATAGAACTGTTTTACACAATCAGTCAGCTACAACGTAGGACCAGACACATATATGCATCGGTCCAAGTTGCCATACCTCATTAACACAACAAAATGAACACCGGATCCATAAAAGTAGTTAATTCAGTGGTGGTAATATATAAAAGAAAGATTGTATACAAGGAAGTAGTTCGGAGAAAGAGATAAAGCAATTTTAATTGTTTTACACATTTAATGAAAATGATATAGAATCTAATTAATAATCTTAATTAATTCTATTTATATATCATTAAATGTGGTTTGTAAGTAGTAGTAGTAGTAGTAGTATATATAGTTATTTATTTCCATTCCCACTCAACTCATTCACTCTACATCAATACAACATACAACATAAAAGGATGTATATATCTTTACATAATATTTATGAAGAAACAAAGATAAACAATTGCAAGTACTCTAAATTACTGATCGATTTCAGTAAACAATACTAGTTTGTCTATGTATAAACAAGCAATCTCTTATTGATATGCTCACACAAACATACAAATACACAGAATAGGCACACTACTCAATAATTAAAATCCACAATTACTTGTATCATTTTCGATTTTCATAGTATAAAGAAGGTGATACATGTGTATTAGTTAAGTTGTGGCTTTATGCAACAGAATATGATGGCGGAATCGTAATGATTACTAATAGTAGTCATTATATAAAAAGATGAATAGTTACATTAGCGTGGTTAGTAAGAAGGAGATGAAAAGAGAGAAGCACAATTAAACATTACAAGTGAACAGTTAGCAATTTTTTAAAGAAGGAATATTCTGCTTAAATGTGAATTAATCAAGTCATATGATCAACTTGGTTTATTTACACAACAACTAACAACATTTTAATAGTGGTATTTAATTAATCTAGAAAATTACTTGTTTTCCAAGTGTTGAATTATAGATTTAAAATCTAGGTCCTATCTGATTCAGTTTGAGCAGCTTGGGTGGTACCAACATTGCGTTGTTTCCCTCTATCTTTATTTTGCACACACACCAGAAATCACAGAATTGAGTATAGGAACCTGAACATAGTTATTGAATTGCATAACAATTATACTGAAGAACTAAATGAAATGGATATAAATGTGTTTCCAAGGATGCGAAAATTTTTAGACAGCGCGGAATAAGTGTATGTAAATATATACTGAGATAAGTTAACAATCAAACAGAGATCTTCGTTATTGCAAGATTTCCATCTCCTTCTTACCCTTTGCTTGATTTCATTTGACCGCATTTTAGGAAAAATAAATCGATGGTGATGGTTTAGTAACCGCTCAAATATACAGATGTTTGTTGATCACTATCTTGACGGTTCGAACCCAGTGACTTTATGATCAGACAAGACATCATTGACCCTCATATTTAAAATATATCTTAGGACTCAATGTACTTGGTAAGTGACTAACAAATTGCTGATACGTGTGAAAAATTACACCAAACATATTACGTTTTTGGGAAAAAGAAAGATCATAAACAGTTAGACTTGTCAATAAGTAATGACCCAGGTTTCGCTTTAACAAAATAAGCATATTCACCTAAGAAAATTTCTATTAACATAGATTATAAGCAGATGAAGGTATTTCTACATATATTGTCAGTTGTGAGATAAATACAAAGCTCTTTATGTCCTGTGAAATCTTAAAAACAACTCTAAATAGCTCCTTAGATTATAACTGTTCATAATTTACTAAAGAGAAAAACTGAGTTCAATAAGTAATAATATTTCTTTAAAAGATTATAACTCTTCCTGGAGCCCCTCTGGGTTGGAGAATGCTTGTCGGCGGCCTATGCTCAATTGGGAGTAACAGGTGTAAATAAGTAATAAGAAGACTATAGTACGGATATCTATATATTAGATGGATAGATAATAAATACCATAGCAACCGAAATAATACCTGAAGAAAAAGAAATACAAAAGGTAAAGCTTCCTATGTAGGATTTTTTCTACAGAAACCATAGGTAAAACATGGAAATAAGTTAGTAAAATATACGATTACAACGGAAAGGATAAATTATACTTAATGAATCTATGAGAATATATATATATATATATATATATATATATATACAGTGGATATAATGTTGTTCTACATCGTTTAAATAACAGAAAATATACAAATATGGTACAGTAACAATTTTGATCTATGTATAATTCAGCATAAGTATTATCTCCTAATCTATTCAGCCACCTTAATGCTAAATACTTGATAATAATAATAATCTCCGGTTTCCCCCAACTTATCGTTTTTTCTCGGATATATTACTCTTTGTTTTATGTATATATATGTATGCAAGGAAATAAACCATGTACGTTTGTTCATTTATATATGTCCACTGAAACTTAACAAAATTACCTACAATGTTTTTAGGTTGACAATTTATTTTTCGCTCATTATCTACGTACCAACCTACATAAAAATTATTTGATTGATTCACATATTGTTTTTTTTCTCTCGTTAAATCTCTGTAAAACAATAGAAGAATAAGTACATAGACATATATATATATATATATAGCGGGCTAGTAAAGTTCAACTCATAAATTGTCTTACTTTCCTCATATAACTATGGA